ATTTTTTTTTTTTTAATTGATTTTTTTATTTTTTTTATTTTTAATTGTTTTTTATTTTTCTATAAATTAGATTTTTTTATTTTTTATATTATTTAACCTTTTTAAAAATTATTATTTAAATTTACCCACTTTTGCTACTTTGTTGAGTTTCAAACTCCACTTCAGCAGAGTTTGAATTTTGCCAATTTTGCAAGAATACAAAATAGCAAAAGTTATGTGATCCCAATACTTAGCAGACTTTAAAAATCTCTGATTACTAGAGTTACTTACCTATAAAGCACTAACCATGTGCACTATTTTTAAAATAGTAAGACACTCTATAAAATATCTTTGCTTATACAGAGGTATTTTATAAGGAGTATTACTTTTTGTCAAATAGTGATAGAGGTTAGTGAATTATAAATAGAAAGATTATTAATTTTAATTTTTTGTTTTTTATTAAAATATTGATATACTATTTATAATTTTTTTTTTTTTAGACTATTCTACCATTAAAGTTTGGTATCATAAAAATTAGCTTGGTCAAACAAAATTGAAAATTTTTGTAAAGATTCTTGCAGAAAAAACTAGAATCAATTGTAATGATCATCAAATTACTAATTAAGCAGACTGTAAAACTCTTGTACAATAGTTGAAAGATATTGGTACAACTGATTATGAGGTATTAACAATTACAAAACATAGATCTTTGTCTAAAATTGCTCATTATAAACTACTAAAAGATGGTGTTTAACAATTTGCCCTAAATAATTTAATTGCCAGAATTGATTCTTCTAAATCCATATTTAGTAAATAAATAAAAAAGTCTTATATTAGTAAATTACTTTTAAAAAAAAATAAATAATATTCTTTTTTACAGATACTCAAGTTTCTTTTTCTTCTGACATACTTTCTACTAATTATAAGTTTCAAAAATTTAAATTCACAGAACAAATCTATTAAGGCAAATTCTTAATTTTTTTTTTTTAAGTTTCTATAATATTAATTCTAATTTGTATTTTAACAACTAGCAAATATTGTATTGAATATTACTTCTACTTTGCAAGCTCAAAAAACTAAAATACTAACATTGCAATTGGTATTATCAAGCTCTGTAATTCTAGTATCAACATTGCAACTAACAAACCCATCAGGTTCAGAAATACCAGCATCAATATTATAATCAACAAATGCACCAAGCCTAGTAATTTCAGTGTTTATATTTCCAAGTTTAGAAGCACCAGCACCAATATTGCAATTGACAAATATACCAACTTCAGAAACTTTAGCACAAGTATTACAACTAGCAAATCTATTATCAAGCTTAAAATATCTGTTGAAGCAAATTTCTAATAACTATAAGTATACCGAGACCCAAGATCTGCATAAAGTAATTAAAATCTAAAAATCGTAAAAAGAATTTTTTCAAAAAATTTATTTACAAATTCAAATATTATATTTTATATTTATAATCATTACTATGTTTTGAAAGAATAGTTGTTAATAATACTATTTTTAATAAATATTGAATTCTTTTATATTTGCTTCATATTGATATTAAAATATATATATTAATAAATAAATATTTCAATGATGTAATTTGCACAAATATATAATTTTTAGTACAGTTATCAATTACATGTCTACATGATAATTGGTTTTATTAGCCTTTCAATTTAAATAGCCAGGTAGATTAGATTTGCCTAGCTTTCGATACTTTATATTTTTCTTTTTCTTAATACATGCTTTTAGAGTATATATCTTTTTCTTTAGTTAACTTTAGTAGCCTGGTTAGTAGAGTTTATTTCAAGAATCTTGTATTATTTAATTTTACCAATTCTTTGATTTACTCTAGATCAGTTTTGTAGTATCATCAAAGTTTCTTACTACTTTCTACTTGGGTTTTATTAAGCTAGTTTCAAATTTTCAAGTTCTCTTTGTTAGTTTTAAATAGTTTTAGAAGTCTTATTATCCCTTAAATTGTTTTGCAGCCAAATTTGCCTGCAACTTTTTTTAAATTTTAAATTTTTTTAATAAAATTTTAA